ATGATAATATGTTAATAAAATTGTTAAAAGATCTTTTTAAATACGGAGTAATTAAATAGACTATAGCGGTAGTCTTTACCTGTTTGTGATAACAACTAAGTTCGGAGGGTAGTGGATGTAGCAGTCAAGTTAGGAGGATAACTGTAGGAGTTCAGTTAAGATGTCAACTATAGCGGGAGTCTTTACCTGTTTGTGATAACAACTAAGTTCGGACCGCAGTGGATGTAGCAGTCAAGTTAGGAGGATAACTGTAGAGGTAATTGTAACAATTATAGTCGGAATAATTATAGAGGTAGTTGTAACAATTATAAATGTATTATAAAAAATTCAAAAAATAATAATATCTCAAAATAACTCAAGAGGATAACTGTAGGAGTCCAGTTAAGAGAATAACTGTAGGGGTAGACTTTACCTGTTGGTATTGAGATTTAACTTCGGACCGTAGTGGATGTAGCAGTCCAGTTAAGAGGATAACTGTAGAGGTAATTGTAACAATTATAGTCGGAATAATTATAGAGGTAGTTGTAACAATTATAAATGTATTATAAAAAAATTCAAAAAATAATAATATCTCAAAATAACTCAAGAGAATAACTGTAAAAGTGGGTGGTCCTACTTGTCCAAATTACAGTCAACATTGGGAATGTAGTACGGTTCCGTATTTCCCCAAAATGTACAAAATTAGAGATAGGACAAAGACAAAATTTGACAAAATTTTGTCAAATATAGACAAAATTTTGTACGGAATAATTTTAGGAATAATTTTATTTGAGTCCCACGCCAATTTATTAGAGATGAGTATTGAAAAGTCAAAATTTCTCATAAATTCTCTTCTTCTTCTTCTTCTTCTTCTTCATCTTTTCTCGTCGCTCCGCTTCCACCGCTTCCTCTTTATACCCTCACGAACACTCTCCAACGCTGCTGGGAGTAAAAATGCCGCAATCAGATTTCGTTGTGGTCATCAAAAAGGATGCTTATACCGGCACGGTAAGATTTCATTTGAATGCATATGACTAACACATGCATGCTTGGCTTTAATCTCGATTTCATGATTTACAGATCATTCATTCTCGCTATCATCCACTGGAGGAGAGATTCGATATATATACTCGGATTGGGAGCTATCCAGTCCGAGTTGTTCTTGGAGAGGACGGCAAGCATCGATTCGCTGCCGAGAATGGATGGAGATACTTTCTCAATGACCACCACTGCCAAAATCTTTGGCATATTCTGTTCAAAAAATTATCAGAGACAGCATACCAAGCCATTGTGATTTCGACCCTTGGTTCAGAAATTGACTACCCAATACGAATTCCTGATTATGATTCTGGTAAGACTTTGAAATATGGTATATTTTACCTGCCCTCCCCGAATTCTTTCTTTTTTTTTTGACAACAAATTCTTTCTAATTCTAAATGTAATGTATGCAATTATCAGATGCAGATGATGTTACAGATGATGATGATGACGTCTTTGTTTGCAAGTTGGAAGAATCGCACTTTCGGGAGTCATCCGAGAATCTGGTATGCTTTTAAAATATCATTTTTGACCTTTTTGACCATATTTGACCCAATTCGACGTATTTGACTAGTTTGACCAAATTCGACCACACGAAATTTTTGTTTGGAATACATGGTGCATTCTCCTACATCAATTAATGACTTTTAATCCGTTATTGTCTCAGCCCTTAAGTGACGAATTTTGCGAAGCAAATGGCTTTGTAGAGGGAAAAACAGATGTCACTCTCATAGGACCCAACATGCAGCCCGTGGTCTGCACACTCGAGATTGATTGTATTGGTGATGGGTTCCTGAAGAGAATGTGGCGTTACTTTGTTGAATCGAATGGTTTGCGTATTGGGGACAAGCTTGTGATGAGGCCGGTGGGGAACAACACCTTTATGGTGGGAGTTTACCGTCATCACAGACGGTAAACAAAAAAGTAATTGATTGTTGTTTAATGAACATTATCATTATCTGATCTTTTCCAGGTATGCGTGCCTGCGTGCCTGGGGATTTAATGTGTTCGTACAACTCTTTTTTCGGTTAAGTACTTAGACTTTTTACTTGTACTAATTGGAAAATTCGACCTATTTGACCGTTGTGACCATATTCGACCACTCGCAATTTTTAGATTGAGTTGGTGTTTCACGCAATTTCTACCCTTTCCAAATAGACCTTTTCATTTATTTTTTATTACAAAGCATTAAAAGGTCTTTCAAAACAAATTTTTACAAATCATTACTTAGGCTTTTTTTAGAACAAGTTATTGGCACTTACAAATCATTTTCATGCACTTTTTTTATTACATTTTATTAGACCACTACCAAATAGAATTTGACTCATTGATGGACTTTACCTTTATCAGTGACCTAAGTTGCTTGGGAGTTGAATACGTAGTTCAAAGCATAATATGACGCGAATGCTTGGAAAGAAATTTCTTAAAGCTCACTTCCCATTGGTATTATGTTGACTTTGGAGTACCAATGGAAGTGATCTTCAAGAAATTTGTTGCGAGCATTATCCTCTTCCTCTAGATATATGACGAAAGTTTTTGGCATTTTAAGAGGGATTTTTGTGAATAAAGATAAGCAATTGCACTAGTATATATAGCACTAATCTATACGGAGTATATAAAACGTCCTAAATGCAACGTATTTTCCCAACTACTCATTAAACGTCCTAAATGCATTCAAAACCTCTTAAATGCTTTCAAACCATATTTGAATTTCCCCAACTACTTATTATTATTATACCTCTTTTAGAGTAATTCTTTTAGAGTAATTATTTTTTCTTCTTCTCCTTCTATTATTATTATTATTATTATTATTATTATTATTATTATTATTATTATTATTATTATTATTGTTGTTGTTGTTGTTGTTGTTGTTGTTGTTGTTGTTGTTAATCAAACCCTCCTATGTGCATAACATGCAGTCGAATACGTTCCAAATGTAGTCGAAATGATCGAATTATTATTATTATTATTATTATTATTATTATTATTATTATTATTATTATTATTATTATTATTATTATTATTATTATTATTATTATTATTATTATTATTATTATTATTATTATTATTATTATTATTAAAATATACGGAGTATATAAAACGTCCTAAATGCAACGTATTTCCCCAACCGTCCACGCATATCTTTATATACAGAATTGAATGCCAACCGTTCACACATATCTTCATTCATGTATTAATTGTTAATTAGAGTGTAAAAGTCTCTTCGTTCCATTCAAAATTCAAATATTAGTCAGTGTATTCCATATTAAAAAATTACCAATATTTTACACAATCAATTTGATAAATTCGACTGCAATAGAATTATTTTTAATTGAAATAATAGAATTTAGTTTAATTCGAAACCTTTAGACCTCTCTTCGAATACAATTACATGCAATCAGTATTATTCAAGTCATTTGTCGTAGATGTGTCTTTACGAGGTCTCTTTGCGCATGTCCGTACTGTATGCCCTTTTCCTTGGCAACCAGAACATGTCAATTTATATTTTTTTCGTGCCTCGCCGTCCGATGGAAATCTCTTCGTTGTTGGCCTTCCTCTTTGCTTGTTCAATATAGGGGGTTTGACTTCTAAGAGCT